ATTTTCTTTAAGGGTAGGTAAGCAATGCATTTTGAAACACAGAAACTTCTCCATGATTTGAATGTGGATATGAAGCTGTTGCTTTTTCTCTAGTCAAGATCTTACGTCTTGTATTTAACAGATATGTGAAGGATCAAAATGGATTTGCAACAAATACTAGGTTTTCTCCCCAGGAACCAGCAGCAGTTGTTCTTGCACTTAAGCTGAGTGGAAAATGTTTAGAGTTAAAGTACTTGGGTTCTATGAGGTTGCAAAAGTAATTGAGTTTTAGCATTAGCCTAAAGCAGTTGTGGAGCTTGAGGGTTTTAATCCACACTCTGCTGCTGCAGCCACCTTAGAGTGGATGGAAACTAAGATTTTCTTTTGATAAGAGAGAGAGCATTAGGTACTACTAGTGAAATAACTTCTTGTGCCTGGCATAGAGTCTTGTGGTTAAGAGGCTGCTTCTTCGGTGATGCTTGCTTATGGTGACACCTGCTAGGCTATTTGGCCATTCTCTGCTCTACATAGTTTTCAAACAAACAAAACAGACCCCCTTAACGCCACCGACTGCAAGTCAGTTTATGCTGTTTATTATGAAGCTCAAGAAGTTTTTCAGGATGCTTTAATGATGGAGGAAAGGAAGGGCAGAGTGACACGATGTCTTACTCAGAAAGATGCATTGAAAGGCCAGCATGTTGCCTATTTTCCTCAGATACTTCAAATATTTTTGCCCCTTGAAGTGACTAGTTACTAGACTGTCAGAAGATGGTGGTGTGCTTTCATTTTCTTGCAATATGAACTGTTGAGATATTGTGTGATTTCTTCCCAAAGAGATGAGTTATGGTGTCATTTAATGTGAATGATTTGGAGGTCTGATTAGGGAAGCAGCTTAGAAAATTGCATGATACCCTGCCAGAATGTTCTCGGTGTCCTGGCAGAATGATTTCCACACTATGGCCTGTGTGCTTTCACGATGATGCTGCCCTGTTGATGGGTTGTTTTTCACTTTTGAAAGGATTTGGATGCAGAAGAAGGAAAAAAAAAACCAGGAAGAGCATGATAGGCCCTTACTGTAAAAATGAGTGAAAACGACTGCTACCTTTTTTGCCCCTTCACAGCTAAGGCTTACCGCTCCCAGCTGTCAGTCAAAAGTCCTTAGTTCTTGCACTGTAGCCCACAGCTTTATAACATATTTATTCAGGGGAGTACATAGATCGGTTCAAGTGGATGTTCAGACAGATGAGTGAGATGGATACTTACAGGTGTTGGCCTTTCTCTCTCCCTCCCTCCCTCAGAGGAGAAGACAATCACTGGATATGCAAACCATGGAACTTGGCAAGAAGTCTGGATACCCACATCACCAACAGCCTTAACAATATCATCAGGCATAGAGAAAGCAGCCCAAAGGTTAGAGAGCATGGTTTTGAATGTGATTTAAGGGGAAGAGCTGAAAAAACTGCTTTATAAAAGGAGGTCTAAAAATACAAAGAAGGAAATTTATTTTCTTCAAAAGTCATATAGTGGCCATAAGTGTACAGTCTCAATCAATTCAGAATTGGTTCAGATTCAGATTGGTCAGCTCCATTTGTTGCAGTGATAAAGTCAGAGCTTGGTATTTTCTTACTTAAAAAATAAAACTTGCCCTGACAGTGATGAGTACTCCAGTGTGGCGCTGCTTTAACGCAGACTGACAGATGAACATGCATTAACTAGTGTAGGTCATAAATTTTGGAACATTATTGCTTCTGTTCCCTGGTTGATCATTATTGCTGATCCAGAGCTCTGCTCAGTGGCACAAAGTACGTTTATAGGGAGTCTGCAATGTGCAGTCATATCTTAAGAGTGTCATTTCAGCTTTATTTCTGTTGGTGTGTGGACTGCATATATTTTCTGGAATGCAGAAATGCTCAAATAATTGTTTCACGTTTCTAGTTCAGAACAAGGTCACTGAAATAATTATAATTAATAATTTTTAAATATGAGTACATTCTGGCCTCCCAGTTTCCCCACCCTGATGTCAAAGCGTTTGATAACAGATACCTATTTGCATAACAACACTGTGTATTCATGCACATTTCTAAAGAAAAACTGAAACGCATACAAGGATACCTTAAATCATTGAGATCCACTGACACTTTGTTTTCATTTCAGTTGAATTACATTTACTGGGAGTGTTTCTGCTTTATTGTAGGTAGTGTGCAAATATATTGAAAATCCAGTCCTGTTTCACCGAGAAGATGTGGGGATGGTTAAATTTGACATCCGTTATGTTGTATTGCTGCGGTCTGTGAAACCACTTAAGCTGTATGTCTATGATGTATTCTGGCTGCGCTTTTCAAATCGGTAATTATGTTCTCCTCATTAGCGTGGAGGGGCTTAGAATTAAATCTGATACCTTGGAAACGAAGGAATTACTTTATTCCTTAGGGCATTTTCACTTGATGATTTGGATGACTATGAGAAGCATTTCACAGTCATGAATTATGCTCCTGGTGTAACATTAAAACAGGTAAGTAAACAGTCCAAAACACTCCCTCACCTTTCCATTGTTGGAAAATCTTCCAGTGCCTCCTTTGTGATTGTTGTGAAATAACCTATTTCACGTTCACTTAAACAAGCAGTCAGGTTGTTGAAAATACTCTTAAGTCCTAAGCAAATATTTTCCTAGACTCTTCCCCCTTTTTCCCTCTAATTGTCTGTGATTATATAAGGTAATACAAACCTACATCCTGAATATAACCCACATTGATGGAGATCAGTAAAAGAATTACTAAAATGGCAGCTAATTGTTGTCAAAGACTTTAGTGTGATTCTTTTGTGACAAGAAATACTGTAACAAGAAAGGTATTCAAGAAGTGTCTGATTGCCTAGTTCTCTACCTGGGTTTGTAAGAATGGCAAAAAATATTTTGTTAAATTCTCTTTTCATGTGATTTCTCAGTCATTCACAACTGAAACAGTCTTTGATGTTGCTAAACTGTTTTAGATACACTGTGAAGAATTTATTCCTCTGTTTGAAAAACAATATCCTGAGTATCCATGGACAACAGTACAAGTAAGTCAGCAGTTCATCTTTCTTGTGTAAATGTTCATGGATCTGTTTTTCTGAAATTGTTAGGTTGTGGTTTTTTTCCTCATGTATCAGCTCCACAAAGGATATAAAATGTTAACCTTTACTTTATAAGCATTTCTTAACTTAGCATAATTCCCCCTCAAACATTTTGTTGTTAGCATTTGAGACTGTTATTACATTATTCACTATGAGAGTTCTTTATATTGGACTTAGTAATAGACAGTACTGACTACCTTTAGGATCCTGGGACCAGGATCTTTTTTTCTTGCAAGTTCCATCTTTTTTGCAGAAGGTTGCCAATAATGTAAGCCCATGGTTGTGAAGATTTGCTATTTCACTCAAAAAGGCAGGGAAGTCCAGATATAAAGTGGGCTAATCACTACAGGTGTTGCTCACATGACTGTGGAAAAGTTGTTTTTAAAGCCTTCACTACTCTTCAATAGAATACTAACTCTGATTCTGAAAAGTTGAACCACTGCAGTATTCAGGCTTTTGCTTCCTTGGTTCCAAATGGCTTCACAAGATAAGGAGATGTCAGAACAAGTAGGAAACTAAATAGGAAACAAATAGGAAATTACAGTATATAGTAATCTTGGTGGAATGGCATCACAGGTTTTGATTTATCTGTTTTAAGCAGAGCTGTCAGTCTAAAGATCTCTCTCAGGTTAGCTTGCTGTGGAGTGCTCTTGAGCTCACTCACAAGATAAGGATGTGCCCAGCTGTGCCCAAGTGGCTGACAGAAATAAGCGCTGCCCCTCCTCCAGGTGCACTGTGCTTGAAGGGTTACACTGCCAGACAGGATGGTGCAGAGGCTGCATTTGGATGTTCTGGCATATTCAAAAGAGAACAAGTTAGACTGGTCTTCTCTCTTTTCTTAAAGACCTCTCCTCCACCAACATAATATCTCTGAGCTAGTAAGTTAGAACCCCAGTTTGTTAAATTAAATCTTCCCTTTGAGACTGCAGTACAGAATTTTCAGCTGCTGACCCAGCTTCTCTTGTGTTAGCAAGCTGGCCAGAGCCCTCTTCTTGGTTATTGCATTAATGACTTTTCGCAAGAAAACAGATGGTTCCCTAATTAATACTGGGGCATCTTTATCTGTGAAGCGGAATCTCCAAATACTATAGTTGCACAAAATATGCAGGAAGGCAGATGAGGTCGTTCTTGTTGATGATTTTTTTTTGTCTGTAATTCATGTTTTAAAGAAAAAGCTGAATGTGAAAAGATAGTTCAGAAACATGCACAAAACTGAATTATTGCATTCTTACATATTTCTCAGGAGCTAGAAGATGCAGAGTGAACGGTAGCTGAGCATTTGTGTGTGTGCTTTCAAAAGTGAATAAAGTACCCAACTGTGGATTGGTTTCCATAAGTTAATGTACATCTGTTTTAGCTAGAACCTCATATCCAATCAATGATACTCAGAGCATGACAGGTTTTGCAGCACCAGGGTTAAAATAGTCTGGAAGAGACTACAAGGTGCAAAAAGAGAGATGTCAAAGTATGTTCTGTAAGTTACCCAAAGTAGTACTGTGTGCAGAAGAGCAAGTATTGCACCATCTTTTGGTTTGCAGAAGGAATGGTTCACTGCAGTATAAACACAATGCTAAAATTCATACCTGTTTGTTCTTTCTGTTTTATTTGACTTTCACATTGGATAGCTGTCTGCTTCTCAAAATACCAATGTAGCATGTTGTTAAAATCTCCATGTCTCCACCACCCTTTTTAGAGGGGTGTAAGTGGGTAGAAGATTCTTCATCGCAGAACAAAACAAAGCTAGAATACAACTTAATAGGCAAGAAAAAGTCAGAACACCAGAATTGTACTGCTGGTATTCACAGAACTCTTCCGAGTTTTCTTTTTCCCTTTCTCTGTGTGTAAGTGCAATAATGTACATAATGCCTGAGAAGGGAAGGGGGGTAATTCTAATACTAAATCCACAGGGAGTCCCTCTGGCGCAATTGGTGAGCGTGTTCGGCTGTTAACCAAAAGGCTGGTGGTTCAAACCCACCCAGGGATGGGTTCCCCTTTCCCTGCCCATGGCAGGGGGTTGGAACGAAATGATCTTGAAGGTCCCTTCCACCCCAAAGCACTTCAGGGTGTGGAACATGAGGAGGTTATTCAAATGCCCTGTTTTCAGGATTTTTGTAGTTCTGATTTGTTCCCCAGAAAAGTCTGTGGATATTGCCAACTGCTAGGCACTTTCACTGTGTTGTCTTTGGTCTAAATGCACATTTTGAGGCAGATTTTCATCTGCTGGGTAGTGTAATTTATACAAACTCTTTAAAAAACTGTATGAATGAAGTGATAAAAAACATGTTTATTGCTTTTATAGCACCTCCCTTCTCATTCAGAGATCTCTTTCTGTTACTAGGCAAATATTTTTAAGGCATTTTCTGAACTGTTCCAAGTTGCTTCAGCTAAACCTGCGCCTCTTGGCATCTGTGATTATCCATCATCAAGAGCCATATATGCCATTGACTTGATGCTTAAATGGGACACCAGCAGAGATGGTGAGAAGCTCATTTCTTTGAATGTTGAATTCTTTGTATTTGTGGACCTTTTCAGAAATTTATTTCTTCTGTGTGAATTCTTGATGTTTTTCAAGCAGTGAGAGCTGTGTGCTCTGTGGCTCCCACTGACATCAAAGCATATCTGGTGTTGCAGATCTGTGGAGTTAGCATCTGCCATGCTGGTTAACAGGAATGATGGGGGAGCTGTTAACTGTACTTGCCTAAGTCCTGGCTCCCCTGTGCCCCTGCTACTGCCATTCTCTGTTTTTTAAAACAAACAAACAAACAAAAAAAATCCTCCACAAAAAAACCCAGACCAACACACACAAAAAAACCCCCAACTGTACAGCAATCTAGTCACTCTGACAGCAGCAAGTTTTCATTCCCATTTACATTGAGAGAATGTCTGAGATACCCGTCTCTTTCTGAAAACTTTAAAGAGGCATCTTGATACCCGTGGCTTCCAGGCTTGGACCAGTGTCTTCAATGCACAGTTACTTATTAAAGCAGGGAAGGGACCACATGCACCATTTCTGTGCTATTAATGTCCTTGGGACTGTCACTTGGTTGTTGCCAAGTCTCTGCAAAATGTGTGCGAAGCTGCTTCATGTTAGTGCTACAGCATGGCTAACTACCTGGAGCCTTTCTTTCAGACAGTTGTGGCCAGGACTGGTAGCAAAATTTGACAGATGGGGTGAATTCTTTATTATCTCACCAGGAGGCTCAAAGATGTTCTGTAAGTGTGCCTGTTATGGTTTTGATCCTGGCTAGCAGCAAAACACCCCAGCTGTTCCCTGCTCCAGGGGAGAGGGGAGAGAATTAAAGGGGTAAAG